GTGGTAGTTATTCGTAAACCGAGATTACATGTATCGCTTATTGGTTTCGAGTATCTATTCGGGACTTCAATTGACCGCTCGCCAGCTAGCGGCTGCGACTGGAAACAATGCTAACAGGGTCAAACTCTAAAGGAGACCCACGTTTCCAAGTTGAGACGTGGCCGCACAGTTCATTTCCCTTCGCCATGCCACATGCGCGAGTACAGAAAATGAGGAAAGCGATGTCCAGAGATAATTGCAGTGTGTCGCAATGTGTGGTATCGTGGCGAAAATACGGTAACGTTTCGTCTATCTCTTTCTGACGAATGCAGACGACGCGTGCCGGGCAATGACACAAATCAGAAACTTAGCATTAGAAAGAAGGTGACGGACACTATGGTAGTTTGTTCTAATAAAATTACTTACGACGTTTAACTCTCCTTTGTGAGTTCACCAACATTTTAGCGTGAGTGCATTCTTATCAGTATTCCTGTCTTCTCTATGCGTCGTCTACTAATCAAGCGCTTCAGGAAAGTTGTTGCACTGCGTCTGTATTTTACGCATATGCTTGTTTTCTGCGGAAGTCTTAGTGCCACCCATTCTCGAATAAGGCTTCTGCAATCCTTCCCCCAAAACAGTTTCGTTGTCGCATGTGTGTGTACATACGTAGACAAACGCGCGCACGAAGGTTGCGCGTGCGTAGCATGCGTGCACGTTCGTGGGTGCGTAAAGCAATGTCCGTGTATAGTGTGCGTGCTTTGAATATCATCTACTGCAAACACGAACAAGCGAGTGTTCAGAAGCGCACGACCTTATTTATTGAAAACCTAAGAAACGTGGCTCGCCGGAAGGAAAGAAAGCAGCACTCATATTACAATTGAAACTACAGTTTGTAATTAGGTGAACGGTATGCGTATTCAGCCTTTGACGGTACAACGAAACTCAATGGGATACATGCAATCGGCCGCATGAGTCGCAGCATAGTTTCCTCGAAAACTGATAAGGTCTTGCCTTTATCAGTGTAAGAATCCAGTGCAATAGCACCTTTCGGAGAGATCCATACGCATGATCAGTCGCCATCTTCAATCTCGGGGCTTGCTAGACAGGTCCTTCCAGCTTGAAGGAAATATGGAGCCGTTCGCCGAAGGGCCGCGATGTTTGCGCACGCAGCGCAACTATTTGCGCTGTTTTGCTAGTGAAATCATTTATGCTGATGAGATTGAGGTGGTCCACGACCAGCACCTTTTTGCCTTTGAAGCAACGCGATCCGACTCAGCAATCACAAAACTTCAGCACAGCGCTATGTGAAACCATTGTGAAAGTGCCACGTTGACCCTGTTAGGCCCAGCCATTCTGTTTTTTTTACCACTGTTGCCAGCACAAGGAACGTTTTCTGGTGTTGCGAATAAACGACGAGAAGCGTGATAAGAAGTTATGGTGGAAAAATGATCGTCCAATAGATTCAGCTCGAGTGCACTATCTGTTTTTGCATTAGTTAGCAATTATAAGAGCGTTCGCTGCAAGTACTCCAAGGAAACAAGCATGGGATGATAATTGCATTTATAATAAACTACAAGGAAAATTGCGAGCCTGAGCTTGTTTATGGATATTCATCGTATAATAATTAATGGCATGACAGTGTTAAAGTACGGACATTGTACGAAACAGACACATCGCTCTGCCCGTTCTTTCTATTTTAACTCTTGTGCTGTTGGTAATGCCACGAGTCAACAACAGTAGGCATTATCTGTTCTGAGAACTTAGTAAGCGATTTCCTAGACACCGTTACGGCACCGAGCTCTTTCTTTACACACGGGAAGCGTTCCGTGTGTTAAAACTGAAAGCTATGAATGTAGGAAACATGAACTACTCTCACGTCTCCATGAAATAATTCTTTTACACATATATAGGGCAACGGAGCGTCGCCATTATTTCAAAGCAACAATGTGATAGCGCTATGACAGTACTACCAAACCGCGTAAAGGGGAAAGTTTTTGTTTTTTCGGTTGCGCCTACTTTTATGGCGTCCATTAACGCCGTGAAGGAACGAGAGGCGGATAATCATGGAGAAGGAATGCACAAAGCGTGCCCGACAATAAATGCGTTTGAGTGTCGCCTGAGCTTAGGACAACGCGTGAAAAGCACGCTACCTCGGCCTTTCCTTGTTAAGCCAAGGAGCTCTTCAAAACGTCACAGCTTATTTTTGTCATTCTTATTTCGCGCTTCCGTATGCTAACAGATGCGTACGAATTGTTGCATCAGTCAAGGTCACATCAAAAGCGCCATATACGTACATATTTTGCCTCGTTTATTTCCTAAACAAAGGCTTTCAGCAGAGATAACTGGAGTTTGTCATAATGGATTTACTTGAGTTGAAGCGTGCGTCTAGTAATTTGCTGAGTGTTGCAAGAAGCACTTGAGAAAAGAGTGAATTATGCATAGCGGGCTGTGAAATTCGCACGAGTGGCCAGGGCATGGAAAATTTATAGCGAGCTTAGGTTGCACCATTGTGTAGTGAGGGAGGGGGTATATTTTGATAAAAATATTCAGTCCATTCGCGTCACGTTTAAGGGGCGATAAGTTTAGGGCTTATTAACTTAGTCATAACTTTATCAAGTTTTTTTTATAAATCTATTACAAATTTGTAAACAGTGTTAGGTGCCGTGTCATTTTACTGAGGCGCATCTAGCGACGTCGCGGCATGGGTGTGCCCAAACGAAATCTCGCCACCACTCTCTGCGATCACGTGTCGATGCAATATCTCCGAGTACAACGTGTCGAGGCGGGATGCCGCCTGGATCGCAGTTCTCGGAGGCAGCTTCGCAGCTGCTGAGCGAGTGGTCACGTGATCACAGCTTTGGGCTGAGTGCAGCTTACGGGCCGCGACGTCGCTGCAAGTGCCTCAGTATGTCGACCACGCCAATACCGCTGTTTACAAGCATGGAACAGGGCAATGCAAACTAATGCTAACGCATTTATTGTGGTCGAAGCAGTTCGGAAAGCAATTGCAAAAGCAGAACCAAACAATATACTGAATCCTACTTGCACGTTAACTTTAACATTCTGCCACTAATAAAAAAGATGCACGAAAGATACAAACGTGATGGCATTCTGTTGTATGTGTTTTTTTAATAGCGGCCGCATTTCATAGAGTAAGCAGTACGAACTAGGCCAAGAAAAAATTCTTTTCAAATATATTTCCAAGTTTGCGATGGGTACCACACTTCGAAGAAACGCCATGCTCTTCTTCGGGATCGATTGATATAAATCATCTGTATTCATGTCGAAATAAATTAGCTGCAGAGGTACTCGTTCTTAGACTGATCGCCAATCACAATGCATTCCTTTCGTCACGATATTGATTTTTTGTGTAAGATACATTCCTTGTGCTGTTGAGCTAGCAGTGCGGCACATGCGAGGGTCAGAGAATTTGGTTTTTGAGCACCCAGTCGCTCATGCCCTCCACTTCTTTGTTTTTCGCCAGTGCCACGCTGCACTCTCAAACGTTCACGTACCGAGTCTCAACTTTCCGTGTAAATGGAATGCGATTTCCGACTTTTCTTGTTCTGAGAAAAAAGATTTGAAGCATAACCTTGTTTTTTGGTATTTTTTTTGTGCCAAAGAATACACTCCGAGCCACAAGTCACATTTTCAAGCCTGCATACAACACGTTAGAAATTTCGCGGTTCAATTATGAGTAAGAACTTCATGAAAACTTTTGCAAAAAAAAAATTCTTGTTTTCATCGCGAGCCAGACAATAAAAAGTTTATATTGTTTCTTGCTAAAATGAAAGCAGAATATTGATCGGGCTTCTCCAATGGAATCGACATGTCATACAGCGTCATCGGCAGATACACTAGCTGTCGCAGTGACCACGAGCAATTTTTTAAATATTTTCTCACCTCAACGACTAAGCTAGCTCTGTCATTTTGCGTGCATCAATGCTGTAGTAAATGCTATTTCTAAATTATAGCAAGTTAGCAAGGCCTTAATCGCCTTGAGGTTGGTGCTAAGGTGCTGATGTCGGGTGTATTAGTAAGTCTGTGTTTACAGAGCGAAGTTCACTTGTGGGAGACAGCGGATGAGTTGCAAGCAATATTGGAGCACATATAGGCCCAACTGGCACTCCTGGACCAGGCGCCGTGAACTGCTGATGCTAAAGGAGCGCTGGACAAGGGGCCCCTATCCACGATCTCCTAATGCTTATTAGATGTTTTATTTTTTATATTTTTTCTCTGTTTTAAACATTTTTTTCATTCCATTGAAGTACTTACCATTCGTTTGACAGAAGCTAGTCAGCACGAGGGAGAGTATCCAGAATCAGCGATATCTCCACCTAATGATTATCACAAAATGGACGTAGTCGGCCTCCAACAGGTTGCATGTAACCAATATACAAGGCAGTTTTCTCAAAATTAACCAGACCAGATAACTTTGTCAGTTAGGATAGGTACAATTATTGCCTTAATAACCAGGTAATGTTGGAAACCGGTAAGTAGTGCAACACAGCAACACGATAGTATTCGTTACACGAGTTATATCAAGAAAAAAAATAAAACACAACCTGTGAGCCATAATCTGCCTGGACAATAAACAAAAGCAGGTTTGGATTTTATTGGCTATTCAAGTCTTGCTTTTCCGAGATATGCTGAACCTAAAAAAAAACTCTCAAGTGGGAGTGCATTGTCACAAGACTTGCTACACGTTCATGCATATTCGCAAGCACAGATCCCTAGGATTCCTTAGCAATGTAGTAATTGCGTTAGGCTTCCTAAACCTTTCTAATGCAGAAAAATGGACAGTTTGCAATAATCTGCAAGGCAGCTTTTCTGTAAGGTTTCTTTTCCAACCAGAAACTCTTGCTCGCAGAATACTTTTCTCGCTCATTTTAATGTAATCACGTGCTCGCGTGCCTTCGCTGCACAATGAGCGAGAAAAGCAGTCTGTGAACGAGAGTTTTTGGTTGAAAAACAAGCCTTACAGGAAAGCCGATTTGCAGATTATTGCAACTTGTCCATTGCTGCGACTTGCACACATATGAGCCGATGTACGCTGAGCCTAATACAATGATCTCCAGCGTTCGCAGAACGTAGCACGGAATCCATGCATCACGCTGAAGTTTCCATGGTCCATAAGCATCGTCGTCCGCGAGGCATTAGTGTACGGTTACCATGTCTGAGAGTTGGGAAGCTCAGGAATGCTGTAAAAAAGACGTTGCACAAAATATTAGCTCAAAGTAGTTGCATGCTATAAGCATTCGTGATGCTTCGGAGGCTATAAACTCGTGTTTCCACTAGAAGAGCTTTTATCTGCAATGTGAGTAGATATACGTTGAGCCAGAGCGTTTATGTGGACAAGGGACTATCATGACATCATGCCCTATCAGTAAGAATGTAGCTACGTCTGAACGTCTGAACGCAAGTCTGAACGCAATTATTCTATAACAGAACGGGAATATCTCGCTCTTGTTTGGGCGGTTTCGAAATTCCGTCCTTACTTGTATGGCCGCCCTTTCCGTGTCATCACAGATCATCACGCGCTGTGTTGGCTTTCTTCTCTGAAGGAGCCCACTGGACGACTTGTTCGTTGGGCATTACGCCTACAGGAGTATTCCTACTCGGTTGCTTATAAGTCTGAACGTCTCCATCTGGACGCCGATTGCTTATCCCGCTACCTTATTGATGAGCCCAACGTACCAGACATCGAGCCTAGCCTCAGCGTCATGTCAATGTCCCAGTTTCTTCAGATTGGTGATGAACAACGTCGTGATGCTTCTCTGCGACAACTTATTGACCGTCACGAATCTGCTCCGAACGACAAGTCACTTCGCATGTACGTCCTCCTGAATGGCACGCTGTACCGTCGTAGCCTCCAGCCAGATGGCCCTGAGCTCCTTCTTGTCGTGCCGAAAATTTGCGTTCAACCGCGCTGCACGAGCTTCACGATGAACCAACTGCTGGTCATCTGGGTGTATCTCGGACGTACGACCGCGTGCGTCGCCGCTTCTTTTAACGCGGCCTCGCCTGGTCCGTTCAACATTACGTGTCCTCCTGCGATAAATGCCAACGTAGGAAGCGACCCACTGCGCCCCCGGCTGGACTTCAACCGATCTCCATCTCAACCAAACCTTTCTTCCGTGTTGGTATAGATCTTCTCGGTCCTTTTCCCGAGTCGAAATCGGGTAACAAGTGGGTCGCTGTTGCTATAGACTACGCGACTAGGTATACCATCACTCGAGCGCTTCCCACCAGCACCGCTACTGACGTTGCGGACTTTTTGCTCCACGACGTCATCATACAACATGGTGCTCCTCGCCAATTACTCACGGATCGTGGCCGCGCATTTTTGTCCCGTGTGATCGACGATCTTCTGCGCTCTTCCTCGATGCACCACAAGCTGACCACTTCCTACCATTCCCACTTACCGAACGGCTAAATCGGACCCTAACAGACATGCTCGCGATGTATGTGTCCACCGACCACCATGACTGGGACATGGCGCTACCTCACGTGACCTTCGCGTACAATTCTTCACGCCATGACACCACTGGTTATTCACCCTTTTATTTGCTTTATGGCCGTGATCCGACGTTACCACTCGACACCTTACTTCCAACCACTTCAACCCCGTTAACCGAATATGCACACGACGCTACTGCTCGTGCCGAACACGCACGTCAGATCGCCTGCTCTAGACTTTCGGCTTCGCAAGCCACCCAGAAAGCCATCTACGACAGCCGCCATGCTGACGTTCACTTCTAACCCGGTTCTCTTGTTCTCCTGTGGTGCCCATTTCGTCGAGTTGACTTATCAGAGAAGTTATTGTCTCGCTACATGGGTCCTTACCGTATCATCCGCCAGGTAACCGACGTCACCTATGAGATCATTCCTGCATCTGAGACCACAAGCCTGCCTGCAACCACACCCAGTGATGTTGTGCACGTCAGCAGGCTAAAACTTACCACCTGCCTACTGAAGACCGTAGTTAATGTGCACCGAGACGGCGCTTTTACCGCCGGGGGGAGGGGGGGGGAAGGTAATGCTACGTAGCTGACGTATCAGCGGTCAGAAGACGACAACTAGGAAGTGGTCTGTCGGTTGTGCGTGCTGCTTCCATCTTAGTCGACGCCATACGCATCATTTTGAATATAGACTTTAAATCAACACACCTCGTGTCATTTTTACGTAACAATATTATGTTATTAAATGCGAAGCGTTTCTTAGCGAACTTCGGTGACTTTGAGCGTATCTATCTATCTATCTATCTATCTATCTATCTATCTATCTATCTATCTATCTATCTATCTATCTATCTATCTATCTATCTATCTATCTATCTATCTATCTATCTATCTATCTATCTATCTAACCGCCTACGACTTTAAGCTCTCTTGGCCGTTTCGACAATGGTATCGATACTAAACGTGGTACGGCATAACATGACTGTATGGAGAACATGTTTCACTTGTCATGTAGGAAAATCATAACATGTATGTCATGAATTACATTTCATGGTACTGCAGGTCTTGCGTTCATTTCGTTCACATGGCATGCTGCAAAACTGGTATGGTATGACATGATTGCATCGCGAACAAAACCGACAGACCCAAACATGAAAATCATGACATGAGTGCCATGTAACAACGTCACTACTTGCCACGCACATGATGCACTCGTGGCCATTTCGCAAGCGTCACATATACCTAATTCGGTATTACGGGTCGTGAATGTATGACGAAGGTATGATACTGGTGCAAACATAATAATAATTAGATGAGTGTCATGTAAGAACACGACTACATGCCACGCTTATGATGCGCTGGCGGCCGTTTCGCTAGCATCACTTATACCAAATTTGGTATCACGGGAGGTGAATGGATCATGAAGGTATGATACTGGTGCCAACAAGACAAACATGAGATACTCGTCATGTAACAACATGACTACATACTACGCTCATAATGCGCTCGCGGCCGTTTCACTAGCTTCACATGTACCAAACTCGGTATTACGTGACGCGAACGGACGAAATAGGTAAATTACTCATCCAAACATGATAATCACGGCATGCTTGTCATGTAACAACATGACTACATGCAACACTCATGATGTACTCCCGGCCGTTTCGCTACCTTCACATATGCCGAATTTGGTATTACGGGACGTCAATGGATGACGAAGGTTTGCTACTGGTGCAACTATGATAATCGTGAGATGCGTTTCATGTGAGAACATGACTACAGGCCAAAGTCGAGGCGCCAATACATTTCAACGTGACGTGGCGTGCGTGCTGGCCGGCGTTGCCACACCACGCACCGGTCCTGCCATATATTCGCAGGCATGCGCTGCGCTGCGTTGCTTTGACGCATGCGCGTTTCAGCGCGTCCACCATCCCTTCGTCCCGAAAAGAGGGAGAAGTGTTGTCTGGGTAAAGCATCGGCGCAAATATCGCGCCGCTCGCCGTCGGGCCGCGCCGACGCACGCTGGTCACGTTGGTTGCGCCTGCCATCAGACTACAGAGTGCTCGCGTTTTGCCAACGTAGAATCGCTGTGCCCAGGTTGCGCGCGCGTCAACGCTACATTAGGGCATATTGGGCTCTTCATGATATGCTCACGGCCGTTTTGCTACCTCCACATATACCAAATTGGGTGTTACGTGAGTCAAATAATGACGAAATATATGACTGGTGCAAATATGATAATCCTGACACACGTGTCATGTAAGAACATGACAACATACCATGCTCATAGCGTGATCGCGGCCGTTTCGCTAGCTCCACATGCACTAAATTTGGTATCACCTGACGTGAATAAATGACGAAGGTATACAACACATCCAAACATGATAATCATGACACGGAAGTCATGTACGGCATCATTCACCTCCACCTCGTAACGTTGTGTTGATTTTAAATGGACATATTAAGATTTCTTATTCGTGCTTCGCATATCATCGATTCCCACTGTACGTGGGATCTGCCATTTTTTTTGTTGTGACAATACACTTGCACTTTTTCTTACAATCGTGGTTGTTTCAGCTGATTTTGGTAATATGTGTGCTGCCTTCGTACGTATGCAGGAGTTAGAATATTATGGAGTGTTTGCCTCTAGGTGCAAACTCCTAAACGCTCATTGCCAGATAGACAATAAGGTAAAGGTTCCTAATGAAATAAGTGCACCACGTACGTTGATTTGGAAATTACACAGGACGCAGCACTCCAGCTTGTGTTATTTATAAGTCTTCGTGCTTAGAGCGCGTCTTTCATTATAATGATAGAGGTTCATTAACACCTGCGACCACTATTGGTAGTGCGACCGCTTGCGACTGGTGGAAAAAAAATACTCAGGGTGAAAGGTGTTCACGAACACGTGCGACTTATACCATTCACCACAAAGATTTCACGCCTGCTTGATAACGGCTCACATTGTGACGGCCCCTTAACGTAAACTGCTATCCTGTTTTTGGGTTTGTGACAGCAGTAGCCCGACTGAAAAATCGAGCATCGAGAGCATGAACCAAAGCAGCCGCCTCGTGGCAAAAGCGAATAAGTGTGACCATTTGCGACCAGTCGCAACAACTGTAGTATTCTTGCATCTCATATGAAGGAAAAGCAAGTGACGAACGAGAAACATTTGTCGACTTGACACACACAATTGCACAAACAACGTCTGACTGAACAAACCAAATATCTCCGAAGTCCTCACCTGGAGTCTTTAATCCACACGCGAAAGTTTCGTCGCGTCTTGACGTACAAGCCCGTCGAGCGTCACTCACAGTACCGCAGTAGGGTAGCGACGAAGCCGACACGACGTGAAGAGGTGCGTGATGGAGTCATGCGAAGGTGCGTGTACGAGCAGAGAACGCACAGGCCCACACTGGCGACAACCGACTCGGACGTGGCCCCACGATCACGGTCATAGCTCGCGTTGTGCCGGGGCCTCCGACACGTGACACCGAGGCCACGATCTCGGCTCCTGGCCCACATGCTCGAGCACCACGGGCACAGCGGCTACGCCCAGCCCGTAATGCTCGCTCGTTCCCGGAACACACTAAGCTTGCCCTAGCTTCGACAGGTATGATCGCCCCATCTCGGTCCCTTTTGTCTCTCGGATTGAACGTCCGGGGCTCCGGCTGGCTGGCGGCGTTTCCTCAGCCCGGTGATGTTTGCCAGCTCGCGAGCTTCGCGAGAATCTTGGTCGTGCAGCCAGTGCCTTTGGCAGGTATGAATTGGCTAGAAAGGGAGCTGCGATGCCTAAAGCAGCAGATGATCTGGTAATATATTGCGTTGTTTCAGCTTGGAATGTACGACTGCATCGGCACTAAGAGTAGGTATTGGGAAGTCATCAACTCCTATGCTTTTCGTTCTATTTCCGCCAAAGGTTTAGTGAAAATATTGTACAGTAATGCGTTTATAACGAACACAATCTTGCTCGAGATACGAACGCGAAACCGGATCTTGACGGGCATATCTAGAAACTACGTTTATTCGCAAGCACACTAACCAGAACTGCTTCCCTTCAAGCCATAATCAACACGTTTCAAAGCCACTGAGAACGCAGGTGCGTCGAGTTTGCGACAAGGAGATCTTTCATGGGATTTTTTTTTGCAGCAAAAAATGGAGCGAAACCAGCAGCTGCTCCAACGTTGCTTACTAAGAGTGAGTTTCTGACGGAGTACACGCGTTATTCTCCTTTTATATGTGAAGCTGTTTAAGGTAGCCACAAGTTGTATAAACAACACGATTCATTAATGTATAAGTGCCAAAGAAATTGATTCAGCATCACTACCAAACCCCGGTTCTCTAGAAATAGAGAAGAAAACAGCTAATGAAATGGTTAGCTGTTACTACGCCACCTATAAGAAAAAACGTCATCATCATAATTGGGTGCATGCCGCAAAATCGTGTAAATATTACTGCTCAAAACAACCTCTAAAGAGGAGGGCAACAGTTAGCCGTACAAATGGCTGTGAAGCGACAACTGTGAGGCGACGACTATGGGTATGTTCAACGACAGAACAATGTAGGAAACAAAAAGGTTACAGCGGCAGCGAGAAGACAACGAAACGACGGAAGGCATGCTACAAAGACGTATCGTGTCTGTAACTGGGTATTGTTTAACCCAAACCTCTCTGCGCTAAGAATCGACGTAGGAACCTAGCATCTAGCTGAAACCTATCAATGACCTAGAAGCAACCTAGAAACAACTAGATCGTCCACTATCGCTGTTTAAAGGATTCTGTGGCATAGTACAAACTGACATTTTTTATATGCGGAGCAGCTTATGACGGAGTTCCATCCAGTGAGCGGTGTAACAACACTTACTACACATGCACATAGCTCGCCCAAGCCCCGCCAAAACGCACCCACGTGCTATAGCGCGTTCCGGCCTGTTTAAGGAGTTGGGTAAAATGTATGGGCTTTCCTCCTTACACTCTCTCAGTGATCACGTGATGGAGCCGGAGAGCGAGATTCTGAAGAAGTGCGATGAACCCTCGTGCTCCCACGTGGCGTGGTGATGAACGCGTTTGACGTGTTTCGACAAGAAGTTCCGGACGAATACCAGCAACAAATATTACACACAGTCATGGTGTAGGCGTTCACACAGGGCAAGGCATGAACGCCTTAACATCAAAGTGTGAACGCAACCTAATATCCACCCTCACGCTCCTTCAAATGTTACTTGTTCCCTTTAGTGGTCGATGGCGTAATTTTTTAACGCCTTTGGTTCGTGCACTTTTTGCAATATTCGTTTTGCCTTCCAGTTCTAATGGGAAACGTAAAAACGAACTTTCTCTGTATGTAGGGTCAATCCAGAAATATAGCTGCTTGTTGGCTTCTTTAGAGTTTAGATAATGGGTGGGCAAAGTGTTGACACCCGTAACAGTGAGAACGCTATATACCAGCTTACTAAAGCAATTTAGTAATGTATATCAGCATGAAAATGTTTGAAAGTTCGAATGTTTTGAGACAAGCTCGAGATCTATAAGCTCATTGGCTATGTCAAATAATGACACTCTTTCATAACTTTCACTTGGAACATTAAAGCTTTTTCAAGTGAATAGAGCTTGTGAGTACTGAAGAAGTAGTTGATGTCATTCCCACATTTTAACCCTCATATTCGCAGTGAACGTATTTTTTCAGTGTCCCTTTCCACTATTAGAGATAACTGCCTATACAATACCTCAAATTAATTTTTGAGATTAAATATGGGTATCATGAATTGCCTGAATTAGAATGATATCTAATCAGATGAGCTTGTTTTCTGTGTTAGAGAAAAGGTGCTGTTTTTAAACTGGTTGTAAATGTTCTTGAGCGTGTTAGGTGGGCTAAAAGTGATTTAACTGTTTATTCAACTGTTTGAACATTTTTGCTTGACTGTTTGGTTGTAACTGTGACGGCATATTGTTGTCACGAGAAAAACAGAGTTGAGCCTCTACGAGAACACAGATCACAACGAGGCAGAAAACCGACAGTCACAACAGAGAAACGCTGGTGTGAAATTAGCATTTTAGGTACATGTGTGAATCAAAATGTAATTGATCATATACGCACCCATTTTCACTGAAGCTTCTGAGCATCCTAATAATGGCCTCGCTCATGCGGCCATCCACGGAACTGGGATCCTCGGCGTAAGGTTGACCGAATACGAACGGAAGGTCGAAGGCGTGAGGCACTCTCATCCATCCAGGGAAAGAGAATTTAGACCATTTCTGGTTGAACACGTAGACGAACACCTTGTTTCCCTTTTTGCTGTGTTGCTCCGAAAAAAACTGGACGGGGCAGTTGAACAGTCGGTCGGATACATAATCAATGTGCTGCCGCCGTAGAGAGTTTCGATCACCCTCAGTCACATCGTCTTCGTAATTTTGCAGCACATATGGCAGGTCACCTTTCAGAAATTTCCACATTGCAGCACGAAGGGAATCGGTGATCTCTTTGGTTGAAGAGGCGTTGAGGTCTTCCACCAAGAGTTCTTTTACTGGAGGAAGAAGAAGGAGGCCAGCCGCCTCGTCGGAAGTTACTCCCACTATTACATCGACTTCTGGAAAGAAACCACGCTTGACTGCCACCAGTGGATTTCGGGGAAAGAACTCGTTATGATAGGTGGCGCTGAATGGAGCGAATTTCGGCGCCGCGACATCCACTGAAGCATTGAAGAGTTGGGCTGCTGGTATGCGTCGCATGCAGTCAACAATCTCTTCCGGGTTGGACGATAGACTCATGCTACCTTGACGAGAGCAGCCAACTGCAAAAGCTACTTTGTCTGCTTTAGCCATGCTCTCTTCGACTGTCTCCCAATTGTCGATGCTGTACATAATTCCGCTCATCAGCACGGCCCTCTTGAAAAGACCTTTACTCACAGGGGACAGGATATGGGCATGCGTGCTAATTGAGCCTGCGCTCTCCCCAAATAATGTAACTCGTTCTCTGTCTCCGCCAAAATATTCGATATTTCGATGCACCCATCTCAGTGCCATATTCTGATCCAAGAAACCAACGTTACCCGGCGCCTCGGGAGTGTTGGCATTCATGAAGCCAAGGATGCCAAGTCGATAGTTCATTGCGACCACAAGCACATCTCCAAGGGCTGAAAGCGCAGATCCATTGTATATTCTCTCGTTAGCAGTGCCAAATGTGAGGCCTCCTCCATGTATCCACACTAGAACAGGTCGCCTAGAGATAGCATCAATCGCGCTTTTGGGAACCCAGATGTTGAGGTGCAGGCAGTCCTCTGTAATTGTAGCACCATCTAGTGTGATCCCCGGTACTGTCACCTGTGTGAAAGGGAATACCTAAGGGTACAATAGAATTGATCAAGTCACGCTCTCTTTGGTGGCTTAAGGCCAAAAATCAATAGGAATGCACTCTTTCATAAAGAAACTGACGATCGGAAGTCTGTTGACTTCGGCGCGTGCTGTGAGTTCAAATAATAAAAGAATCCACTGTATTTGATGCCGTTATGTGGTGGATGTGTCCAACTTAGTTATAGATAGGCTGATAATTGATCTTTGTCGTGATCAAACCCATGACCTTCGGATGAGTAACCGAGCACAATAACCGCTGCTCCACCCCAGCAGGCAGCCGTGAAAAAACTAAATGTCAACCGCCTCACCATGATGGAATGACGACAGTAATGGGATGACCCGCTGATGAAAAAGATGACTACAGGGACACGTTGTCTGACAACGCTGAAATAATGTGCCGAGGGCACAAAACATTTTGATGGCGTAACGTACGTAGGTAGCAGCACAATGACTCTGGGATCACAGTGATAGGGCATAAGTGGTCAACTGAGGAAGACTGCTTCATGAGTGAGCGAGATGAATGACGTCACAAATGGCAATCACGATGATTTTGCACTTTGGCTTCCAAAGCAACGTTGAACGGTGCCACTGCTTTTGTATTTCGCCCCAACGCTGCATGCGCCTTCTCTTTCACACACGCGCAGAGCTCTCACATTGAACCTGTGATGCATCACAACGTAACCACTGCTGAATACAGCAGTGCTCCGCGCCTAATGAAAAGTGAATAAGCACACGTATCCTTCCTGCCACCACTGCCGAATCCGGCAATAAACCACCTTCCACGGAAGCGTTATCCTCAGTAACGCAGAGGTCAGTCGCGTGAGCATGGCGGCTAAACTTCCGCTTGGGCTACTTGCTCAAACATTTTGCCTTATCAAGTTGGTTGGGGTGCCTCATTCTCATGTCTATAGCACACCACGACAATGATACAGGAAAGAGACACACACGCTCGCAGTGCTACCTTGCAACTTATGTTTCATTCGCGATCACACATGCTATTTGTACAATAACATAGATGGAGAAGACCTAGAAAACCTGTAAAAATGCAGCAGTGCTCAGGCACGCTGGGTCACTGATTACGACAATCTGCATCCGCCAACGTTAAAGCGACGATTCGAGATTCCTATTTTCTTTGGCTCAGAAGGCTAGAGTAGCCACACTCAAAACTCTTCTTTTCATTTAGTCAAATTTATGGGCTTCAATGAATTCACGCGTAGTTCTGTCACGCGCCCTATTAAAGATATATTTTGAAACACGGGGCGCCTTCACACCTTTGACAGGAAATTCTCAAATTACCAGATATAGCTTTTCCTGAGTTGTTATGGTGCTCCTCAAGTGTTTGGTTTACACTGCTTCCTATTTTGCCTACGTACACGCGTTCACAACTCAAAGGTGTACAATAGATAACACTTGGACTAAGCAGCTCTTACAACCCCGCTTCCCACTACTGTCTGCATTAAAAGTGCATTGCGCAGGGGCATCACCCGTGCTCAGCCCGATATTCTCTGTTCCTACGCACTCATAGAAAGCCTCTAATCTTGTCTGCTTCTGGAGAGGCGGTTGCAGAGCAAGGGTCGGCTGATTGGGAGTGGGGTGGGAATGTATGCTCTGTATACGGCTGGAAGTTGCAGTGGCTTCAGCTAGGCTGCTTTACGCAAAGCGCTGTGCTTGTTTAACTCGCTGTATTAACTACTTGACTTCTCATGACCCTCAGCTAAGCTAACGTGCCTGCGTCGCGTCTGCAAAAAAGAGAAAGAGGGGCTTTAAAACTGGCAGCAACAGCATTCTTAAAGAACGAGTTCACTCTGCGGTACAAACCAGCTGCACACAGACATGGTTCTAAGCAAGTGTGCAGGTTAGCAAATGCCGATGCGTCCTCCTTCCCTTCAACTTCATTTTGAAATTGAAGGGAAGGATGACGTGATGGCAGCTGATGAGGCCGTGCCATTGTCGATCCAAGTTACTGACGGACCAAGGTGGGATTCGAGGCGGATCTGCTGCCCAGCTCGGCCAGGCATTGACGAAAAAAACTTTTGTGCAAAGCAGCACACAGACAGACAAAGAACACGGGACAGCACTTTGTCTGCCCTTGCGTTGCTTAGCACTGTAATTTTTTTCATGTGTCATAAAAAGCCCCTCACCATCTTAAAACAAACGAAACGTCTTGCTTAATCAGCCAAGAAGACTGAATATTCAAAGTAAATTTGGCCCACATGGTGTGGAAATGTCCGAGTAAGAACAATAGTTCACACACTATAGAATTTTGTGAAACCCTGCTCCGCAGTACAGACCCCACGTCCACACAAACATCATCATTCAAGATCTTACTGCTGCCGTGTCTCAACGGATTCCGGCCGACGGCCAGGGGTGATGGTCGGTGCCTAATGGTATGGACTCATTTTCTGTCAATGCCCCGCCGCGGTGGTCTAGTGGCTAAGGTACTCGGCTGCTGATACGCAGGTTGCGGCGGCTGCATTACCGATGGAGGCAGAAATGTTGTAGGCCCGTGTGCTCAGATTTGGGTGCACGTTGAAGAACCCCATGTGGTCGAAATTTCCGCAGCTCTTCACTACGGCGTCTCTGATAATCATGTGGTGGTTTTGGGACGTTAAACCCCACACATATAAATTAATCAATCATCATTTTGTGTCAATAGCATTTATAAGGACACTATCAGCTCGATCTTGCCCGCCGGCGTTGCCATTATGACCGTATATATATATATATATATATATATATATATATATATATATATGTGAGAACTCAGGAAATAAAAAAACGCAGAAATAGATTTCGGCGCACGGAATCGAACTCGGGCCTGGGACCTCTGAGACGTGAGTGTAAAGTGTTAACCACTGAGGAGCTCGTCCGTCAACAATCAAACGGCAAGCTATTTATATCGACCACTTACAGCTTGTGAATCGCATCTCGTGGGAAACTATCGTCTTTTCAGCATTACTAGCATGATGGCGCAATGAGCACGCGCGCCGCTTCGTGACGGTGTGGCGATGCGCGCTCTTATTTCACGCGTGCTTTGACCCGCGGAGGGAAGGTAGGTTTACGCTCACTAGCGAGCTCGTATCTCGCGATCGTATGTTTTGGATGGCTTTGGACTTTCACCGGGACAATCTGTTGCAGTCCCCGGGTGCACAAAGGTCACTACGATCGCTGAGGAGTCTCCGTTTGCGAAAGATGCGTGCTTTTCATACGCAGCGGTCTAACAACTGAGACGCTTATTCGCGTTCTTATCTAACTGTGAGAACGTATTGTGCATCACTTGTGCGCGAGCAACGCAGGACATTGTTTCAATGCGCTTGCAATTCTGCACGTGACCTTCAATTTGTTGCTATCGCGTTTATTGCATCGCCTTTGTGGCAAAGCTGTGACTTTTTAAAACGAAAATTTATATCTCTTTCTCCATTAGCGCATGTGTCTGCTGCTACGTGGAGCACTTCTTGAGTGGCCTGCTGGGTTGATTGTGATGATGCTAGGCGCAAAAAATTCCAACATGACCGCTTGTCCGTCACCAGCGGAGACATGGTGCAGAACGGCCATGGAAACGTCACAATATCTTGTGCAAGCATTTGAATAAAAGCGCATATCATGTTGTGTGATTGAGGGCACAGTAATAAACTAAAGTAAGTTTTGAAAACGTAGTGTAAATACTTCTTGGTGTGAACTAATGATTAGCAATGCAATGCGTACGCTCCTTGTATGCGCTCATCACGTTTGGGTATGTGTGTGTGTAACAGGACAAATAGGAAACACCTACACAAACAACGTCAAGATTATTTCGTGCTTTTTTGTGCCTTCTGCTGAGCACACAATACTTTTAATACACAAAAGCCTACACCAGAAAGCCCTATAGGAGGCATTGAACAATGTCATTTTCCTATACTTTTGTTTTCTTGGTACAGAGCCGAGTTTGGGCATTTCATGGTCCTGTGTCAGCTGGGACACACATTGCGGATATCATATCTCAAAAGACCAGTGGAGTTTTAATCGACACATAGATTGATTAATTTATCAGCTAATTAAAACTTCATTGTATTATAAACCCTCCACAGCAGAAACATCACTTTGTATAGGCAGATTATCACCAGGATATTTGTGTTGGGTTCTTTTGCACAAATCAGGACAAATGCGAAGTTCGGAGCTTTATGTTGCAAATATGATGCTGTAGGCTGTAAGCATTACAAGGTTAAAAATCAACGTTTTCATGAAAACTGACAGCTGTACGTGTCAATATTTACGAAAGGGAACATGGCGACGCGTGTCCTGCGCGCTTCGGTGGCTGCTGGCAGCGCGTTCAAGCGGAAGCAAGAGCAACCACACTCACTTTTCGCGTCATCTCGCGGCGAGCAAAACAACCATTCGCTGCTGATATAGAACGTCAAGAGTGCAGCCCCTTCTCTTTCAAGGCGATTAATATAAAACGGCAAGAGTGCAGCTCCTTCTCTTTCAAAGTGATTACCGGCACCCGCGTAATGACCTTGTAAGGGGAGGGGGTCGAATTCTTGCTGCTGGTTTCATATCAGCAATGAATGGTTGTTTTGCTCGCCGGGAGAAGACGCGAAAAGAAACTGTGGTTGCTCTCACTCCCGCTTGAACGCGCTGCCAGCAGCCACCGGAGCATGCAGGCCACGTGCTCCCGTGTTCTCTTTCATAAAAATTGACACTTAACACGAGTCGACGTGCCCCGGGTTCGCGCCAGAAGGCGCGAAAGATGGTCAAGTTGGACTAACAAGATTGCTGTAATGTGGCAACAGGCAGCACATGAAAGGACTAACTTAAAAAAAAAAGATCGCGAGAGAAGTATTTGCTTTCCAGTGGGTGTTACCAGGATCATGACGAACATACGCTCTCACAAATGGAGAATATTTTCATCAAGGCGGATCCGCAGCTCCTGTACTATGCTGCGGACCCATATTCATAGAATTGATCCCAGCTGCGGCGTTCGCATTTCAGTGGAGGTGAAATGGTTGAGGCCCGTGTGCTATGTGACATCACAGCAAGTTAAAGAACACCGGATGGTCAAAACTTTCGGAGCCATCCACTACGGCATCCTTCATAATCATATTGCGGTTTCGGGGTGTAAAACACCAGATATTACGTTATTGGTAATAAATAGAGATTACAAACTATAGATGAACGAGAGTTGAATATTGGCCCACCTGATGACACGCTGTAGACCTTCCAGTTGCGTTTAGGGTTCCTTCCCAAGCTGCCTTCGGCTTTGGAGGTCTGAACCTGAGGTGGCCAACCGGTGGTTCAGCGAACGGTATGCCCCGGTACTCCTCGACGGCTTTGCCAAGTGTGTACACCACTCGCCCGAGAACTCTTCCCTCTGCGGTAGTCCTCTCCACGTCTTGAGCCTCGGTATTCAGCAAGCCGACGAACAGCACGGTGACCAGCGCTTTCGCAACCTCCATCATTGCTCACCGTTGTGTCTCACTGCTGATCGGAACATAATTATCAGTAAAACACTTCCATGGATGAAAAAACAGGTTTGTCATACCAATACATTTAGCGTGATCTGCTAATCGACAGTAAAATATATTTAATTGAAGAAGTGCCCATATTATTCGATTTATAGCTGAAACAGTGACACACCCATCGTACTGATTCAAAGTAAAAACATCCTTTTTTTTCACTTTAAGTGGCACCTTGTTTGTTTTTAATCACTGGTGATAGAATTCTTTCAAACGTTCATCTTCAAACCTGATTTCACGAGATGTCTACAAAGCACTTCATGAAACTTGTCACTTTATTCCGCGCACAAGTTCCGACACCGGAATTTCCACGAAGGCATGCAGTGACTATGGTGTCGGGGGCCTGTTAACTCAGTACAATCGTTACTCAGCGAGCTGGGCCCGTCAGTGAGAACCTCTACTCAGCTGATCGTCCAGGTGCTCGCTGGCCAGCGGCTCCTCCCACCACTCCACTGTAGAATGTTGCCTTTAAAATAGGCAACATTACTCGAAACTATATTGAAAGCAGAAAAGAGAGAAGTTAATTTGGTCAGCGCGACTCGAACTGGAGTTGCACACCAACAATGTACCCACTGCGCCACGAGAAATCAACGTGGTAGGGCTAAAAACCAGCACAAACAGTGATGAGATTTTCTTGAAAAAAAGCAAAATGACGACTCTTTGAAAGCAGTAACGTCAATATTGAAACATTATTATTAGAAAACAGGAAAGAAAAAAATCCTTAACGAGATTTGAACTAACGACCTGCGGCACAACCACACCCCAACTGCGCGTCAACGTACAGCGCCATTACCACAGCCAGACGATGGCGTCTAAAACGACTACAAATACGGCAACGCCCCCACCCCCCTCTCATTTCTACCATTACACTATGGTAACGAGCCCCCTCACCGTAGTCATTTATTTACGGTGACGGAGCTCGTTGCTATAGCTGGATTGGTATTATGACGAGCCCCGTCACTGTTACGATTTCACTACACGGTGACGGGCCCCATCATTGTAATCACAATTTCACTACGGTGACGGGCCCCGTCACTATAACGATAGTACTGCGCTGACAGGCCCCGTCACTCTAATGATAGTACTGAGTTCACGGGCCCCGTCATCATAGTCACTGCCTTTTGTGAAACGAGCCTTGAAACGCTATTGTATTAACGAAGCGTGCCGAAAGAGTAAAATTACATAGGGTGTCACTGAATGCGAACCGTATCACGAATGGGCGTTTTGAAGCTTCCTACAATTTACAAAGGTTTAGGCGTAATTCATCGTCATACCGACAGTCTGACACGTGAGTGCATTTCGAAGGACATTATTATTTAAATTTTTTGTATCCATCCAATTATGAGCCATAGCCCGAACAACATAATGCCTCAAAGGCGTGTAGCGGCGACGCAGAGTGTTGAATAGGGGCATAGTAGATAGCTTCCTATTTCGCAAAAGTGTGTTGATTTATGGTGGAGTGGGCACCTTGCAACTGTAGTAGCCACGGTAAGAAAGCATATAACGGTTTCTAGAAAGACTCAGCGTATTCCGCGCAATCATAAGGCTCTTTTTAAACGTTAGTCAATATTTATTGCTGTTTGCAACCTTTATTTAAACAGACAAATCTCACGCAAAAAGCCATTTTGTTTCGATCCATATAGCCATAATGGAAGCCGTGTGCCAGAAGAGTTAGGTATTGGCGACTGCTTCTGCAAGGACCAAAAAGCTACAGAAGGCGGTGACACACACAGTAAACGTGACGAGCCCAAACGCCAACGCTATTTCTTTACTTTTCAGACACCTGGGCGCTGTCAGCTTGGGCTGTCAAAGCATTGCTTTCTTGTGATCGTATATCATGACGTGTATCAATAAGGTCTTGAAACAACGTATGCACCAAATCAACCGTTTCATGCGTATGCGTCTACCGTAACACTGTTTGTTTAGTAGTTAAAGAAGCCAGACACAAAGGTTCGCATCCCGATATGGTGGCATTGACACCCGGTCCTCTGTAAATTAGGGTATAGCGAGTGGTACTCTGTGCAAAACTTACAGCTATGTGGCATGCACAGTGAACTAGGCTGAAAACCTGGAAAGGTCAGTAAATTGTTGGGATGCCCAATCCGCAAAACTATCAAGTTATTCGAACACAAATAAAATAGCGATGACACCAAATAAAATAGTTTTCCTGTAATAGTGTATTCGAAGAGAAAGGCAATCATTTTCAGTGTTACTCTCTATCATGACAGTTTTCAAAACAGCTAAAAGATACACAACGTTTTATCTAAAGCGAACATTGGCATTCTTTCAAAAAAAAACATTATGATTACTTTTAACCGACAAAAATAATACAATTGTGTAAACTGAGGCAAGCTTCAATACCGGCGCAAGCAGAGCCCTAAAATATTTTGCAATAGCATGGTTGAAAAATGAAGTAGTCATTAGAGTATTCGAGGTGCTACTTTCACAAGAACTTTTAAACTGAATTGAATATACATATTGTAAGCAATATTCGTGAGTCAGAAATATCCCGAATGTTATAAGAGAGATAATGAATTGATCACTTAGTCGCTTTGGTGAATAGTGAAGTTTTAAGCAAAAGTCTGTTCATGCTGCATATATTATTAGCGAGGATAGCATCGTAAAGCCTTGGCTTACATGAGGCTTGGTCAGAGGAGACACGTTACCCACCTGCGTTCTAACGTTACTTTCCTTTTAAGTTTTTCCACAGGCGGTTAATAATGAAAACTGTGCAAAAACATTCGTTATTTATAATGTACACTTAGTTTTCAGTACTGCATAGAACACAATTATGTTTAGTTCGTTATTTTAAATTTTGGAATATTCGCACAAGCGTAGTAAAATGGTGTTTTGGAGCGCCTGCGACGAACTTCCATGACAAACGTGGGTGCATAACCCACGTGGTGGGACGTATAAATACCTCGAGGCGAAGTCGCGTACTTCATATATTTTTTTCGGCGGCGTGAGAATATTGATGTTTCGTGCTTCGCCAGCGGAAGGGTGAGGTGTCCGGAAATAAAACAGCAACAATAGGATGAAGTCTCTATTATCACTGTGAACAAGGATACTATAAAAACGCATTGCTATTACTGAACTGTTAGTACATAGCGACGTGATATATCACGTCGGTCACAGTCTCGGCCACGCACAACCCATTTTACTCCTAAGTATTCGTTACACCCTTTTAAAGATGTCTATCATTAATAAGCATGCAAGATGAAGATATTACGAGTTACCCAATTCACGGTGTTATCCTCGTCAGGTTCACTAACATGTCATAAAAACTGATACTACAGCTGGCTGCAGCTGGTTAAAGGAACAATTGCGCACACGATAACAGACTATGTTTTCGAGAAAGAAACGACACCTACGTTTTTGCACGGTGCCAGTAGAATGTGAAGGGATACGAAGCACTGCAGACAGCCTCGCTGGTACTTTCCCACCGTTTCACAACGCGATGGCAAAGCAGGGAGGTCGTGAGCGAGGGCGCTGAGTTTCACGTGAGAGATTACAAGGGTGTTGCCTCCTTGAGGAGCAACTTCGACGATTTCGGAAACGGTGGCGTATCGGGTATGTGCGGTACGGTAAGTTGTTGCACCGCACATTGGTGGTGCGCATACAAAATTGACAACAATATTCTTGGCTGCTTCAAGCGTATCAATTTTCTGTTGTTAAGATTTCTTATACGATCATCGAAAATGTAACGTCACGCCAAGTAACGAATTGCGCTCATAAAAATAGATTTGTTTATTTTGCGGATGCACAGTAGAATCTCGACGCGTGTGTTGCCTTTACCACATTTTTATAGAGGTGAAGAAGTTCTATGCCTCATCAGTGCAAAAATGAGGCGTCGTTGCCAACAAGAACCATGTTCGCAAGAGGTTTTTTTGAGCTTCTGAATTGAGACGATCGATATGCTAGAGCAATAGCACTAGTTACATGAGCCGTTATAGGTAAGCTCTGTGGTTGAAGAACTAAGTGACTGGTGTGTTGGTGTTGCGTATTCCATCGATATAAAGAACTATTCGCAAGAAAGACGAAATGCTAGCACGTCGCAATCATGGTTTTCTGAATTGCTAAAGGTACCATGACGAATAACATAGTAGAGGAGAAACATGGCCTCGCGAGTGGGCTACAATAAAGTTGGGGTATTTATGTGTGTTCCTTAAATAAATTTGGCACAATGTTGTTCTCAAGGTAAATGTGTGAACTCACATTGCGCTAATGAGTAAATATAACATTGGAGCGTCCTGAAATGTAATCGTCTGCGAGGCTGGCTGTTGAGCCAACTGATGCTAAAATTTTTAAGTGATAAACATTTCTCGCTGAACGTCTGCTGCAAACGCCAGCTCTTACTTCTTGTGACAAAACTAGGGACCCTATCCTTTGATTGGTCACTTGAAAACTCACAAGCTCTCTCAGGGGTATTTCGAGCAACATTTCATTCATTTTGACACAAGAAGCATGTCACAAAACTAAGTTAAAATTATCGATTAAATCATTGTTACAAGTATTGAGAACACTAGCGTACAGGCGTCGTTTCTGCTTGATCATCTACACTGACAACGGAAGGACGTTTAAGAAAGGCAACAGTAGAGTTGACGCACGCGTGATACCAAATATAAAAAAAAGGAAAGTGGGCGTGATGCGGCATACACCGAAAGAGTCCTTTCAGAGAAATACCTGTATCATACTATCACCCGTCAGAGAATTACTTCTGCGAAAAGCAAATACTTCTACACAGCGCCGTTACCGATCCCCTTTAAAGCACCCCGAGCACTTGGTCAGAGTGATAAGTATGTCTCCTGAACTTTTGGACGCAATGTATCGCTGTTTGAAAGTTTATTACACATAAGGAAAAGCGCACTTTCGAGGCTCAACTACTTTGTTTGAGGATCCCTACTGAAGTTGTCTCTAAAAAAAAATACATTCATAGCAGC